TCAGGCATTCTGCACACACCTATTATTTTTTAGTTTCTTGTAGCCAGTGAAGAGGATTTTTCATAGTCTGCTGTATAAATTCACATTGTCTTTAATAGAAATCTAAACAAATGATGGTGAAATATGAATTAGTGCATGAATTATTTACTGATCTTTCTTTCTTAAAAGTATACCTTGGAATTAGAGGAGTCCCTTGCAGAGGACTTTATTATGATTTCAAAAAGATTTGTTCAATATAGCAATATAACTGAAATCACCCCACTGAATGGGAACTGTATACCACTTATTATATAGTAAATTTAAGCATTATTTTACATACACAGCAGGTAACTAGTAAATACTTACAGAATTGTATCAAGTAGAGCAGTTTGGGGTTTAGAACAAGGAGCAGTCAGCTACTGCTTAAGGAGCTCGAGAGAAGGATCGCACTGGGAAGCAGGGATCAGATTAAGAGGGCTTTGAATGCGTTTCTCATTAGTTTTAATTTTGCTCTCAGTGTAGAGCTATGGATGGCTCTGGAGTGAGAAAATTGACATGTTGAAAAGCAGCGATTTAGAAAGATGAGTTTGGCGAGTTGGTAAGATGAATTGGAGCAGGGAGAGAGAAACTGCATACAACTCCTTTCTTGGAGGTGATTTTTCCTCCCCTTACTCCTCTTAAATCAGACAACCAATTTGTTTCCGTTTAATCTTACAAACGATGTCCATAATGCTACCTGAATTGTCACTTTTTTGTATTTGCTTTAAAAGTAATTTTAAAGTAATTTTTACTTTTTTGTATGCTGCTTTAAAAGTAATTCTAATGTTATTTTCTTGAGTGTTTTCCATCCCCAAATAGATTGTGCCTTTTGTGAATTCTGACCATTCTGTAATATTATCTATGAAATAGATGACACCACAAAATACTTTATTCATTCTCCCACCTATCTTGTAACAAATTTTTGGAACACCAGTTGAAATCTCAGGTACCCTCATTTGAAATACTTTCAGAGAATCTTTCTGTATTCTTCTGAATGTGATTAAAAGATAGACATTTCACACATTCATGTCAACAGCTATGATTTAAAATCAGTTACTGTGAACTATTTAGAATATTATTTTCTTGGACTTGTTCTTTAATGAAGATAAGTGTACAGAACAGGAGCTACAGTAAGTTTCCTTCCACTTCTTTGGTTTCCTCTCCTTACTTCTTACCCCCAGGGTTTAGGCCTCTTTTTGTTGAGTTGTTTTCCCTAATATCTGTCACATGTATTTGACTGACGTATTTGTTGAATGTACCAGGGGGCTTTGTGCAGGGCTTGCTAAACTTTAAAGTCCTGTTTCTTTCTTCAAAGAAGTTGAGTCAAATTAATAATGGTCCTTAGAGAAGCAGGAAACTTCTGGGTCCTGACAAACTGGCAGGGAGGCTCAGGCAGTGTCTCCCCCTAGCCTGGAGGCCAGGTGGATTTGATTGACCAGGTCTCACAAGATTGCAAAGCCTTCTTTTGAATGGCAGCCCGCCACCCCAAGTGTTTGTCAGTGTAGGCACTGAAGCAGAATAGCATTTGGAAAGCAAATAAAATATAATTGTAAGTGAGAGAAAAGTTGGAGGAGAATGGCTCTGCTAGAGGCAGGGAAGAAAGGATGGTGGCTTCTTGCACTTGTCTGGAGACACGCCATGAATTTACAGAAGGACTCTTACTCCTTAAGAATCTAAGTAGGGTATCATCCACATTGAACAAGCTCATAATTAATCTTGTAAGACCATTGTATCTCAGATGACTTTATCTGATTTGGGAAGTACTTCATTCAGCCATCTAATTGTAGAAGAATGGGATGGGATGCAGTGGCTTTGATAATAATAAAATGAAAATGATATATAAAACCAACTCTTACGTTTGTCTTTAACGGAAAGCCATAAAATCAGTGTTAATAAATCAATGATGGAAAAATAAGAAATTTCTCTTAATGGAGCTAATAAAATTGAGAAAAATAGTTCTTTTGTCATTGAAATCATTAGGCTGAATTTCCCTTACATTCGTACTTAGTGATCTTACGAATTTTGATAATGGTACTTATACAGCTGTTATTAAATTTTCATCTGTCGCTACTGCATTCTTATTTGCTAAGGTTGATAACTTGATTGTAAATAATAGTGGTAAAATCTGAGACCCATGTGGTCTTTTAGCATTAGAGTTTATTTCACAATCTAATAAAGCTAGAAGTTGATGTAAACACTGTATTATCCAGAGACCATTCGTTCCTAGCTAACTTTGAGGGTTTTCTAAATTTAATAAGTTGTGTAATGATCATAGGTAATGAAATGAATTATGCCTACTTTATCTAGGGTTGCAGTCTATTGTATTACTATTGATGTAGTAACATTTAACAAATGAATCATAAAAATTCAGGGCATATAGTGTGATGTTTAACATTGTCATCAGTAAATATTGGCTAATTACATAAATGATTGTCTCCCGTGTATTAACAAATAACAAGAATTGGATTATGGAGATGCTATCTCTCATGAAGAACAAAATACCTGTTTCCTATCTAAGCTTGTGAAATAAAATCTACTTTTTCTAACAAATTTTACTATGTGAATATCTTATTGAATATTTAAAGAGATATGAGTTTTTAAATTTGTTACTTCTTTTTAAGACACTTCTGAAATAACTAGAAGGCATAAAATAATATGCCTTGGAGATAAAATTATCACCATACTTAATTGTTTACTGGAAATTAATACTTTGACCACATGTTTTAAATTGCTTCATTTTATTTTTAGGAAGATTAACCTCGAATAACAAAGTTTTAGAAACAACTCTGTAAGAATGTTTCTTGACACTTCATGGTACTTGGAAATATCTACTAATTATCAATCACATTAAAAACATGTTTTCAAGTTTAAAATATACTGAAACTTCAGTATAGTCCTGATTTCCACAATCTGAATTCTGTATTAAGACCTTAGTCTCAGATTTTTGATAAGGGTGTCACTAAAATAGCAGAAGATCCCATTGTAAGAATATCTTACTCCTAAGACAGACCAGTGTAATTGACCTGAGGAAGATCATCAGGTGTGGATCTCAGTGTTTATTTCATTAAAAAAATTCTAAATTATGCTCGTTTGCGTATTTTTCAAAGTAAAACCAAAATTGACTTGAAATAACAGTCAAGGAGATTCACCTCTTTTTTTTTTTTTAAGGGCCAGGTACTAAGTAAATACGTAGAGTCATTTAATCATGTACATTTGATATTGTAAATCTCTTGTGAGTTATTTGTAGCAATTGAATTGAGCTTATAGTTTATATACATGATTTCTGAGAAATACGTAGTATGATTATTTCTGACTAGATTGAAAGCTTACATTTGTATTGTGGTATAAATTCGTTATAAATTCTGTTTTATTGTATTCAGTTGCATTGTTTTCATCAGGCAATTTATCACATGGGTGTATGTGAAATTTCTTCATTTATTAAATTTCAGATTATGTATTTCAAGCCAGAGAAAGACCTAAACATTTTTCCATAAGTATAGCTTCGGGTAAACAAGCAATTTTAGCCCTGAAAATAGCTTCTGCTTCTGTCAACACGTTGTTTATTCTTTCTCTGAGATAAAAAGTTCAGTTTTCTGATATTTGTACCAAGATAAAGTCAGCAAACAAGATTAATATAGTGTGGAAAAGGTTGTCAGCAGCCCTGGCAAAGGAAATAAGTTGCCTGTACATAGAACATACTGTAAACTGAATAAAAGTGTCAGGTCCACCATGAGATAATGTGATCATGGACCTCTAACAAAGCATGACATAGGCACAGTGGGCTTTTCTCAGAGCCACAGTGTAGAGAATGGATTACTGTGTTCCAGGGATGCCCGCTGGAATAGCATGAAAACCTCATTTTGAGATGCATGCAGGATGTAGTCCTGGAGTTGGGCCACATGTTTACCTGTGGTGCTCAAACCGTAGGGTTATTAATGTCATCATCTGTGCATATTTGCAATATTTGCATTTCTTGGAATTTCAGTGTGTGCTGGCATCCTTGTTACCCAAGTGATACAAGATGAAATACGTTTTTGAAATGCTCATTTCTTTTCAGGGGCTTTTTTTTTGTCTTTTTGCCTCATTGTGCCTTTTTTGATTCTATAGGTTAACATGGCACTTCTAGAAGTATAGGTTTTTGTTTTTTGGTTTTTTTTTGTAATATGGCAGAGCATGGCTTAAAGCCTTTTGCTGTTAAGTTTCTGTCCTGTCCATTGTGATGGTAGATTCATTTTTGCAAGGTGCTGTGTTTATGTTCCCGCTGAGAATTCTCTATAAGAAAGTTGTGAATTTAAAACAAAAAATTCTTTACAAAAATTTTTTAAAGCTCTGGGAATAGCTTACACTATTAGAAAAAAAGTCAACCTTTAATTCTTCATCAGATTTTTAATTTTATTTAGAAACAAAGGAATAAAATGTTTTCTCTTAAATGAAATTACATTTTGTTCTATGTAAATATACAGAGAATTCCTAACTTTATGGGGAAAACTATAAAAAGGACGATTCTCTATTTCCTTGACTTAAGCTTCTGTATGCATTTAAATGTGTGCATTAGAATACGTGTTTTTTACATTTGGGAATTAGCTACAAATATGTTGGTCCTAGGGAATATCATCTTCTCAAGACAATCTAATTAACTAAAGCTTTTTTTTCCATATAATTAAATATATTTGCAGATGTACAGTATTTGGAAATGAGAGTGGTCTAGTTCTTAGGAAAGATGGGTTTTTTCTATTATAATGGCACTTTTTAAATAGTCTTAAAATTCTAATGGAGAAACTACACTAGACTAAAATAAGTAGTGTATTCTTACCAGGTATTAAATTATATATTTGGTCCATGAAGTTGTGCCTTAGAATTTGAGAATTTGAGAATTATTCTCCATTCCAGAGTGGATGTCCTCAAATGAAAATGTCCCTATTATTCACTGCCTTTTTACATACTCAACTGTGACCTATTTTTGGTTTTTAATCTGCTTTCAGGTGACCACTCCTGGGCCAGTCAGTAATAAGAGAATGGTTCATTTTTCCCCAGATTCTCATCACCATGAGTGAGTATGCATTGTATTTGTATCATCTTGTTGGGCCATTCTGCATCTTCCTTTTGGGAAATTGGTAGGTGTTGCTAGTGAAGTGGTTTAATTTGTATCTACCTTAAATAAAAGTAAATATTGTATACCAGTGACAGTAGTGCAAGAACAATTTTAATGAAACCCATGGCAGAAATTTAAAGAAAGGTTTTTTAAATGGTCATTCCTTTATTTTACTTGGGATAGAATTTGAAATGCACGTGTAATTGAAATTCATATAGTATCTTAAAACATTTAAATGTTCATTACATTAAGTAGCATCAAGCTCTCCTACTCACCCATCCTTCCTTCCTTCATCCCACAACCCTTTCTAAAGTACTGAAAGGAAGAGTAAATGATTGTTTTTCTCATTAATTCTCTACCCTCTGCTCCTGCACAGCATGAACTGTGAAGGGACCAGAATGTATTTTCATTTAGCAATAAAAGAAACTAATTTACTAGGTCATTCCAGAAAAGTAAAGCTTTAGCTTTTGTGAGCTATTGGGTGCATTTCTAGGCATTAATTCTACTTCTAAATACATCTTTGTTGGAAAACCTTAAATAAGCTATGTATTTTGGCTCATTACCATATACCATAGGCAATACACAATTTTCTTTTAGTTTCAGTTGTACGACATAGTGATTCAACATTTATATACATTACAAATTGATCCCCTCAGTCTAATAACTGTCTGTCACCATACAAAGTTATTGCCATATTACTGTGTAGTATATCCCTATGACTTTTTAATTTTATAACTGGAAGCTTGTACCTCTTAATCCTCTTCACCTATCTCACCCAGCCCCCACTATCCTCCCCTCTGGTGACTACCCGTTTGTTCTCTGTATCTAGGACTCTGATTTTGTTTTGTTTTGTTTGTTAATTTGTTTTGTTTTTTAGATTACGCATGTAAGTGAAGTCATATGATATTTGTCTTTCTCTGACTTATTTCACTTAGCATAATGCCCACTCCATGTGTTGCAGATGGCACGATTTCGTTCTTTTTATGGCTGAGTGATATTCCTGTGTGTGTGTGTGTGTGTGTGTGTGTGTGTGTGTGTGTCTGTGTTTGTACACCATATCGTCTCTATTCATTCATCTATTGATGAACACTTAGGTTCCTTCCATATCTTGGCTATTGTAAATAATGCAGCAATGAACACATGGGTGAGGATATCTTTTTGAATTAGTGTTTTCATTTTCTTTGGATAAACACCCAGGAGTGGAATCGTTAAGATTGTATTGTAGTTCTATTTTTAATTTTTGAGGAACCTCCATACTGTTTTTCATAATGGCTGCACCAGTTTACCAACTGTGCACAAGAGTTCCCTTTTCTCCACATCCTCGTCAACACTTGTCATTTGTTGTTGTTTGTCTTTTGATGATGGCCGTTCTGATAAGTATGGAGGTGACATCTGATTGTGGCCTTGATTTGCATTTGCCTGACGATTAGTGATGTTGAGCATCTTTCTTGTGCCTTTTGGCCAGATCTTCCAATGAAAAATGTCTATTCAGATTCTCTGACCATTTTTTAATGGATTGTTTGTGGTTGGGGTTTTTTTTGGTTTTTTGTTTGTTTATTTGTTTGTTTGTTTTTTGATACTAGGTTGTGTTAGTTCTTTGTCTATTTTGGATATTAACCCCTTCTTGGATTTGCAATCATTTACAAATATTTTATCCCATTCAATAGATTGCCTTTTTGTTTTGTTGATGGTTTTTATTCTGTTTCATTGATCTGTGTGTCTTATTTTTAACCAATACCATACTGTTTTGGTTACTGTAATACAGTATATATATTTAGCATATATGGTTTGAAGATAGTTTGAAATCAGGATGTGTGATACCTCCAACTTTCTTCTTTATCACTATTTTTTGTGATTCCATACAAATTTTAGGATTTTTTTTCTATTTCTGTGAAAAATGCCACTGGAATGTTTATAATGGTTCCCTTCAGTCTGTGGATTGTATGGGTATCTGTGAGTAGTGCGGGTATTTTAGCAATATTAATTCTTCCTATTCATGAACACAAAGTATCTTTCCATGTGTCTTCTTCCATTTCTCCCATCAATGTTTTATAGTTTTGGTGTATAAATGTTTCACCTCTTCAGTTAAATTTATTGCTAAATATTTTATTCTTTTTTGATGCTGTTGTATATGGAATTGTTTTCATAATTTCTCTTTTGGATAATTTGTTGTTAGTATATATAAATGCAACAAATTTATGTATCTTGAATTTGCATCCTGTAACTTTACTGAACTTGTTCATTTGTTCACATCAAGGGTTTTGTGTGATTGTTCCTGGGGGCATTGCCAGTGGACATAATATTCTTGTATTTTTAATGTTTTTTAAAACTCCAACAATCGAAAGGTCATAATTTGTTGTAATGATGCTATAATTAAGTTATGGTAAATGACAGCATTTGTAAATTTTACAACCAGAATTGATTCATAAAATGAATAGAGTCCCAGCAGTTTATGTTAGCATAATTAAATGGAAATGTAATTCTGAGTTTGCTTATTAAATTGAAAATTACTGGGTTATAAGCACTGTTACATTTCTGTCAAAATTGGTGTAAGTCTAGAATTACATGAAATATCCATTAGAATACAGCACATTTAAGGCTTTCTTGCTGGTGGCAAATATATTTCTTACAGCACGTGCTGATCACATGAGAGCATGTGTATGTAGTGAGGTTCCTGCTAACTCCTTTTCTCTTTCCTCTGCAGCCATTGGTTTAGCCCTGGGGCTAGGACAGAGCATGGCCAGGTAAGGAACATTCTAATCCAAAAGGAAATTACTCAGTCTTTCAAATATTTAACTAGCTCCCTTCAAGATAGTAGTAGATCAGCTTTATGAGAAAGGTTATAAATCCCAGTTTACGTAAAAAAGAGTTAATTGTGCTGGTGCTGGTGCACTGACCAGATGAAGGGTCCTCAGTAAGCCTCAGCGTTCTCCCTCACTGCCCCCTTCCTTGGTCACACATGTCACCTCCATGGAAAGGCTCGGGAATTCACCCGTTTGTAGGACTTCATCATTTATATCAGTTTTTTGCAAAATTAAGTTACCAAAATAGTACATATGTTTAAAAAAAATTGCTTTCTATTAACCAAGATTAGCCAGCAAGAGAAATACTTTTATTTTTGAAGTGTAGAAGGTGGTAATAGTTTCTTACAAGTTTATGTTTCTAGATGAGATGTGGGCTTTTTTTTTTAATTTCTTACGTGTTTCATGGCAGCACAATGATTAGTTGACTTAGTGAGAACTTGACATTCATTTGGGTTAACTTTACATATAAAATAAGTAGTGTGCTTTCTTTGTTGAAGGTACTAGTTCTCTCTCTCTGCAGCATGGTAAGGTAATTTAGGGCTTAAAATTTTGATAAGTTTTAAAGCATATATGTTTTAGGCTTTGCATTCTTGCTCAGCTGCTTTTTTTCTCATTATGGATTATAAAAGTCATTTTTTAAGTGGGTCCATAATAAAATATGTAAGAAATACCTTTAAATATATGCGAATGAACAACCTCAAATCCATAGAGATCATGTCTTCGGAGGGGTAGGTAGGTAGCGGATGAAGAGGGAACTGGGCTTGGTGATGGTAATTGGTCACATCATTATACGTATTGGTGACGTTTTATTAAGCTGGTCTGTAGTTGGTTATATATCCCATGGCTCATTTTTCTTACAGAAGGAAAGTGCCAAATACTTCATTATAAACTATACTGTATTTCTTAACACACATGAACCTAATTAAACTATGTGAATTCAGTTTTAATGGGTTTTTTTTTTATAAACTTGCCTTTTTCCATGAGAATGATGTGCACCTTTGACTATATTTCTCACATGAATAATAGAATATATACCACTATTTCTAAAGTTTGGGAAATTAGGCTGTTACATCTGCAATGTATTTATCTCATTATTCAGAATATAAAAATTAGACTTCCTGCTTTCCCGAATGGCTCACGCCCTCTGTGTAAATAAAATGCTTACAGTAAGATTCTGCTTCTACTAGTAAATCACATCAGGATATAGTTCACCCCAAAATCAGAATTTTTAAAGATTATTTTCTACCCTCTAGAATTTGAGCGAAACTAAAGCAATGTTATAAATTTGTGCTTTAGATTATAGTGTAACCGGTCGCTTCCAGCCAAACTCTTTTTCTGCAGTTAAACGGTAACAAAGAGCTAGTAGCATATAGAGAAGAAAGTTGATCAGTTTTTTTTTTAATTTTTAAATCTTTGAAACAAATTTTTGAATCAGCCTTTTGCTTAAGCTTTGATACACCATTTCAGATTTTTATCTTGACTCGATTGGTGATTAGTTAATAAATACAGTTGATTGTTGTTATTTGTGGTGGCCGTGTTCTATAAAGTTGATAAGAACACTTAGAGTCGCAAATACTGAAAAATTGCTCCCAGGGAAGATACAAGGTTCGGTTCCTGAGAGCCTCTGGTCACAACATTTTCATTAACTAATCGATACACAATCCTTGTTTGAGGTGTGTTTCTGTTTAAAGACACCTTGTTTAATACTTACTATTGATTCATTAACACTGAACTCATGCCAGCAACACTGTAACTTATGCCTGAAGGAAGCTTATCTGATGCACATGTTTTTTTCTGTAAGGCCCATCACAACCTTCTTGCACTGGGGACCACTAGACGGCACTTCAGCGCTATGCTTGGGGGCTATTTTAAACAAGGAAGATAGAAACAAGAACACAAAAATGCAAAAAAAGAAAAAAAAAGTAGCATTGAATGAATCATGAAAATGATACTTGTTTACAGTATGAAAACTGTAACAAGACAGACATCACTCTATCAGTCCTCAGCCAAGAACATGCACTGCAGGGAAGCCAAATTTATCTCACCCTGATGTCTGCAAATGACTGCAGAAGCACCAGAAGTACTGATTTTGGTGTTACAAATATTAGCAAATAGGTGAATTCGCAAATACAGAATCCATGAATAATTAGGAATAATCACACAAATCTGTATGTACTCAATCACATGCACAGTAGTCACATTTTGAGGAATAAAAATTTCTTATTTCAACTTAGACCTATCTTCAGCACAGTAAACTACTGGCTACACCTATGTGCAGGTGACAAAAGGCAAGACCACGAAGAAGTTTAAAATCCTTCAATATATTGTTGAATGAATGACGATCAGCATGCATGATCACCTTTTATTTTCCCCATACCAACTTATCAATGTAAAGAAATGATAATATTAACCCCATTTGTGAAACCCCAGCCCTCACTGCTTTCCCCCGTCTTATGGTCACCCTTTCTGTTCTTTAGTGCTAGGTCCCATTTCCAATTACACCACACGTAGTTATCAGTTCTCTCATACACATTTAGGAAATAACTATTATCCATCAGCTGTTATCTATCAGGTACTCTCTATTTTTACAGAAAGACATATTTGTACAAACAATGTAGCTTTTCCTCTGAGGTGGTTAAAATCTGGGGCAGGAAAGCAGTAATTATAGCATGTTGATAAATGTTTGAGAAAACCACAGAGAGGGCACTATAGAGGCCACAGAAGACAAATGTGAAAGTTGGTCCAGCTATAATGTTACAGTCCAAACTCGTTCTCTTAGCCGCACGACAGGCCAATAAATTGGGAGACGAGGTGCTGGGGCAAGGAATAGCGACTTTATTCAGAAAGTCAGCAGACCAAGAAGATGGCAGACTAATGTCCTGGAGAACCATCTTTCCCAAGTCAGAATTTAGGCTCCTTTTATACTAAAAAGGGGAGGGGGTATAGTTGGTTGTTGCAAACTTCTTGGTGTTGGAATCCTTTGGTTTTGCAGCTGTCCACCTAGGTCAGATCATGGTGTCCCTGCAAACCTCCAATAAGACAAGTGTTATTTTCTATTCTGCAACTTTTTATCTTTATGTAAATGGGAACGTGTTATACCCTCAAAGGTCAGAACTTTGAGAATAGGCTGTTCTGTATATTTCTGTGTAGGCTGTAGGCAGCAGGTGCAGAACCAGAGCACAGGGTTAGAGCTAAAGGAACAGATCTAATACAGAATCAGATTTACTCTTCCCTACTACAATATGAAGCCTCAGTTTTTCGTCTTTTTTAATTCTGAGGCTTTTCCTCCTTGAGTATCTTAATGGTTTGACCTCTTGACTGAGTTTATAAGTATCTTAAGACAGATCATTGTTTAGGCATTACTTAATTCTCCTTTTAAAATAAGGACAGTGAGAGGCCATGTGTGGAGAGACTTGAAATTCTTTTGTAGACATTTGAGGGGTTACCTGAACACTCTTGAAATTGAGTGCTTTCTGAATATCAGGTGGTAGAAAAAGGGCTGCTGTGGAATAAGAAGTCTGCCCCTTGCTTCTTCCTCCTGTATTAGCAACTTGAAACTTTTAATAATCTTTCTAAGATATCATGAGTAGCCACAGAAATTCTCAGCTCCCTTTCTGTAACAGGAAGAACCATCATCCACAAGGAACACTTCTCTTCCTGACTTCATTCAGCAATTTTTAAAATTGTGTAAACCTTGTAAACCTCACATTGTTCTAGGTTTTGTGTTGATGAACGTTGATGTCATTCTTATGTGAGTCATTTTTTAATATACATCTGCAGGTCACTAATAAGGGAATTGTATCTCCGTTTGGCCTAAGTCCAGCAATCTGAGAGTTGCAAGGTAAGAAGCACTTCGCACCATATTAAGAAGTTCTGTTATTAATCAGAGTTGACGTTGTTGAGTCAGAACCCTGAAAATTGACCTCACTTGTGACACTGATAGGAGTCCAAGGAAACAGGAGAAGTTAGCAGTGAGAGGAATGGAGAATTTCTTAAAATCTGATGAACTACTTGTTATCAGAGAAGAGTTCAAGGATTCTCGTGTCTTTTATCATGAATTCCTGATCTGATTCTCCCCCTCTCACCCTCACCCCTTGCCCTGCCCTGCCACCTTTTTTTTTTTTTTTTTTTTTTTTTTGGTTGCTGTTGTTTTTTGGGGCAGAGCAGATGCATGTTGGGAACCTTTCAGATGCAAACATATGCTTTCTTTTTTAATAACATTCTAGATTAAGTTTTTCATCTTTACCCCTTGGAAGATCTAGGTTCCCATATTAACTTGTTAGACTCCTGACCCTGAGATCTAATTCTGTATTTTTTTATCTGAGCTGGATTTTAAATTTGTCAAGTTACACCTAGGCTTATAATTTTATTGATAAAGTGAGGTGACTTTATGATGATTTTTTTTAATATAGGTGCTTTGTATTAAATAATTCCAATATTTGTCTCTTTTTGTTTACAAAGCCCATCAAAACTATAAATTTGAGGAAGAAAAGAAAAGAATCTAATAGAAGGAGCTCTAACATCAGAGTTCAGGGAAGTTGCTCATTTAAGTTCATCCAGGTGGCGGATGAGAACAACCCAGACCTAGTAGGTACAGCCTAATATTTATTTTGGTCATTATAGTTTCATTTTTTTAAACTAAACTGTAAAATTCTTTTCTTATTTCAGAACATTATGTTTAGGATTTTGAGTTCTTTGTTTAAACTGCTTTAACACAAATATCAGAAATAGTGTTCACATATCTGTCTTTTATCTAAAAATTAGAAAAGTTAAATACTACTAGGAATTTAAGGCAGAGGTAGAGATTTTATCATGTCACCCCTAGCTATCTGTGTCACAAATGTTGGTTTGTATATATTTTTTTCCAAAGGCACTAGACTTAGAAATGCCAAAGTAATTAATTTTTTTTAATTTCAGAAACAATTTAGTTTTCATGGTACGAAGTGTTTCTAAATTGAAACACTTTCAGATTAATGGACTTAAGATAAGTTGTTGCTATTTTCTGTGAGTAGTAATAATGAGATATGGCTTCAGCTACATGTCAGATACTAGAGCTCACTCTATTTCTTTATTTCATTCATTCATTCATTCATTCATTCAACAAATATTTACTAAGCACTAAAAACGTTCCAGACACCGTATTGTACTTTGGAGGTGCAGGGAGGTTGAATGACTGAAGCAAAGGGCCAGAGATGAGCAAGAATATGGTACACACTCAACACCAAACAGTTCAGAATGGCTGAGATATTAGAAGTAAGGAGGTTAGAGCTGGGGGTAGGAGGAATCATAATAAATTGTGAGTGTAGAAATGCAATCAAATTATGAAGGGCCACAAGAGCCTTGTATAAGATTTTGGGTTTATCCGAAAAGAATAATGTAATCAGATCTAGTCTAAGAAACTGGCTGCAGTGTGAAGAATGGGTTAGATCGGGGAGAGGCTGGAGGCAGGGAGGCACTGAAGAGGCTGGCACAGGTGAGAGAAAATGATGGTCTGGACTAGGATGTTGGTAGTGAAGATGGCAAGAAATAGATATTTAAGAGAAATTTAAGGTAGACTTATTTAGTTAAGACTGTCCTGAAATAGTGATCTAACTACATTCTCTGTGATCTAATTTAAGTTCTGTTCCTTCTCAAAGATGGTCAGATATGGCTAGTAATTGATTCTAAATGATGTCATTAAATAGTTCAAAGCAGTTATTTCATTAAAAGTTCTTGATACTGGTCAGAAAAAAGCCGCTGACAACCAGGCCTATTAATTAAAATCGTAATTCTAGCATTTGAACCGTTTACTCAGCACTTTCTATGTTCCAGCCGTAGTGCTAAATGTTTGACATGGTTTTCCTCATTTGACACTCATAGCAGTCTCACAGGTGGACATTCTCATTATCTCTACTTTCCAGGACTGGGACTTAGAGATGTTACACAGCTTGTAAATGGTAGACCCGTTTTTAAAACCTAGTGACTTGTTTTAGTTACGGACACAGCTGGGACTAGAACCCAGCTCTCTCCTGCACTGTTGCGTCTAAGATTCCTATTTTTGTTAGAGTTAGTCCCTAATGTGCTGTACAACTTCACTTTAGCCCAGTCTTGCATATAATCGCATTTCTGCATAAAAAAGATAAGCTACAGTTTGAATGCACATATGGTAGGAAATATTGACTCCTTGTTTTTTTGTTTTTTGTTTTCCTTTCCAATTAGTTAGGGTAAAGCAAGTGTGAAGGGAAGTGGATGGTGAGGCATTTTGAGGAGGCAATCAAATATATGTTTTTTCTAATTATTTATTTCCTAGCTAATAATTTCTTTGAAAAAGAATGTTTTAAGTGGGTTTCTTTACCATGTTAGGCCAGTAAATACAGAGAAGGTATTTTATGTCATTGTAGGTGACAGAGCTTCAAAAAAGTCATAGCTGAATGCAATGGTAAAAATATCTGGTTAAGAGAGGTTCGTTACTTTAAGCAGGACCACTCCAGAGAACCAGAATTAGAACTGGATTCCAGGCCTCCAGCTCTGGGCTATGTATTAGGTGACTGTAAGAGCAGTTTAGCCATCAGGAAAGCACTAACAGCTCTTACTAACATTTTTATAAGTGTGTCAGTGGCATCCCTAGCAAAAGTAGTTGTCTTTGTTTGAAGAAAAATCATTTTAAAAAAAAAAGTGATGCAGGTGAACAGTGTCCCTTTGAATAAAAAGAATACTTTTCTACTTCCAAAATAATATAATGAAAATATTTTTATTTCTACAACTTTGTCTTAACACTTTGGCTGCATCAGCTTCTGAGAGATAACCGAGCTGAAAGAGGACACAAGAAAAACTGTTCTGTGAAAACAGCCAGCAGGTAAGCAATTTAAAATCTATTTTCATTCTGATTATTGAATCACCTGACTTTTTTTTCCAATACCAGTATGAATATGGTGAGTTATTGTGGAGGTGTCTTTGGTTCTAAAGTGCCAGCTTAAAATATTTTATGTATTTATTAGAGTCTATTTCAGGATTGCTAATAATGAATAGGAAGATACCATTTTATTTGTATTTTTTAAAGCTGATGGAAAATAAAGAATGAATTTTTAGAAGAAAAAATTTATGTCTCCCCTAACTAACGTATTTTTGATCAGGATTTAGAGTAATTGTTTTATTTTTTAATTATAAAAAATAGAATTCATATTTTGCACAAAACCTAAATGGTACTTAAATTAATGAGAACAACATCCGTATTCTAATAGTACATAAATAAGTATGTAGATAATACACTCTTCTTTAAAAGTGCTTCTGGCTTCTTACTCATTTTCTATTGCTGAGCCAATGTTATATATATATATATTTTTAATAGAAAGAACTAGCCCCAGTTTATTGTTTTAGGTAATACATTTTCAGATTTTGCATGTGGTATTTCCAAAGACTTCATTTTTATTTAGGGGAAAATGGCTGCCTGAGTATTGATCAGAACTACTGCAATTTACACTTACTCAGTGTTTAGCCAGATAATCAACCTCAGCAACCACCTCTGCATCTCACGGCTTCCCACTGTTAGTGTGCTAGCTGCTGTGTTTAACACTCCCCAGCAAGCAGTGTAGCTTTAAAGTTCCATGTTGTACATGTACTAACCCCAACTGAGACCCCACTAGGTATCCACAGAAGCGAACTTAAATCCAGTCTAGCAAAATTGTCAAAATTGTCAAATATAATAAATTGACCATCAGTGATAGTCAACATAAAACTAATACAGTTGCCCCTAAGAATGTCAGAGCCTAAAATCATAAAGTATGGATTATATAGATTTTATATAGATTATAAATAGCTATGGATGACATGTTTAGAGAAAGAAAACGAGCAAGCATCAGATCATTACTAGAATTGATCAGACATAATTGAATCAAAAACATACAATTGTTAAAAATGAGAAGTGTGATTGTTGGAGAGATATTTAGTGAAATGGAGATATATCTGAAGAAATAGTCCAGAACATAGCATAAGAATATAAGGAGATGGAAAAACGAAGAGTGGTTAAGAGACACAGAAAGATCAAAGATATATTTAATCAGAGGCCTTGATGGAGAGTATAGGAAGGCTGAAACAAAACAAAGCAAAACATGAAGTTGAAGAGATGTTGGCTAAGAATTCCCGAAACTGGTGAAAGTTATAAATCTATCGATACAGATACAGAGGGCACAATGAATACCAAGTAGAATAAATAGAAATCCACACCTAGTAGTATACTGTAGTAGACCAGAAACAAAAAGATCTTAAAAGAATCCAGAGATAAAGGATGAACTACTATAGAGGAAAGACATCATCAGGTTGAGTAGCAGTAGTAGAACCAGAAGACAGTGGACACATCTTCAGAGTTCTGGGTGAGAATACACTGTCAGCCTGGAACTTTGTACCTAGAAAAACATCTTCTGTGTATGATGATAGAGTAAAAACTGTTTCCAATTTTCAAAAACTAAGAAAATTTACTACCAACAGACCTCTGCTAGAAGAATTTTAGCTTTAAGCTTCCTGAGGACAAGATCTTGGCTCTACTCACTGGTGTATCCCCAGCACCAAAAACAATGCCTGCTACATAGGCAATAAATATTTGTTGTGTAAAGTATTTTTTTGATTGAAGTATAGCTGATTTACAATATTGTGTTATATCCTGGTGTGTGATTGCGTGGAGACTAAACAACATGCTACTAAAAAAGTAACGCGTCAATGATGAAATCAAAGAGGAAATTTAAAAATACCTTGAGATGTGACTGTGGAAACACAACCACAGAAGATCTACAGGATGCAGCAAAAACAGTCCCAATGAGGAAAGTTCATAGCAATACAGGCCTTCCTCAGAAAAACAAGAAAAATGTCAAATAACCTAAGATGCATAAAATATTTGTAGGATGAAACATTCTATGGCAGCAGAGTGCACTGACTGAGCCCTTATCTTGGCCTCTATGCGCAGCCTCTGCCATTACAGTACCTGACTGCTGAGCTCGGCTTCACCACTCACTAGCTGAGGAATCCTACACAGACTACTTAGCCTTTCTGTCCCTCAATTTATGTATCTGCAAAATAAAGAAAATGGTGGTACTTACCTAATAACGTCACAAGGAATATGAGTCAATGCTTATGAAGCAGTTAAAATGTAAGAGTTTAAATAGGAGCTGTTATTAAGTTTTGTATTGTTGTTTCCATCTGTGTGCTTCCTAAACGTTTGTTAAATATAATTCTTTATCATAGTTTTCTGGTACATCATTTACGATGTCAAATCATTCTGTAAAACGAAAAAGTACAGCAGGCCTCAGCCCTGTTTTTCCCTATTCTCTAACGTCACACTCCAAAGAAAACTGCTGTCAGCGCTTTTAGCCATTTCTTCCCGTGTTGACCTAAATTACATGCTTATATTACTATTTCTTGATAGTTTTAGTTTACTGTTACCTATTGACTTCCTGCTGTGTGCCCTACACACACACGCGCGCGCGCACGCGCGCTCTCAAGCTAAACCTTGGGGCAGTGCACCTGAGTGATGAATAGAAGTACCGCTGACTTCTGGCTTTATTTCTTTATCATGTATCTTTCTCTTAAATTCCAGACTTGATATCCAAACCTTTTTTTTTTATTTCAATATTTAAATAGAATTTTATACTTCTCAACATTCGAAAGATCTTTTTCTCTCCCTTCATTTCATTTAAAATTACAATTAAATAGTTTCACATTGTTGCTCATATCAGAACCTTTGGTTAGCACCAGAAAGCTCAATACAGCCTTTCCAATTGAAAGTGTATAAAACATACATTAAGCAATGCCTGAAACTAAGTGATGAGCCATTCTTGCAAAGATCCTACTTTTTCAGCATACTTTTATGTTCGTGATTATTCTTTATTGTTCTAAGAATCCATACAAGAAGACTGATAGTTTATAGCAACTTCATTGAGTTTAGATCATAGTAAGGCCTTTCCTTTTAGATCTGTTTCTTTTCGTTTTTTTTTCATTTGCCCTGTTTCCTTACTTAGGTGATTTTTGTCATTTATTTTTGTGAAGCATCAAGGTTAAATTATCTAGCAGTATGATGTGTAATTTGAAATCAAGTAAAAACATTTTTATTGCCAATATTGTTCAATTCTACTTAACATTTTTGAATGTCTTTTAGAAACGTGTTTGTTAATTTACTTAATTTTTAGAAGCATTACATTTTTCATCTACTTAGTGTCAAATGATTTGATAATCCCTGGATACTTTGTGCTCTTAATTTCTTATGTTATCGAATTAATAGTGAGGAAGAAAAAATAAACTTTTTTTTCCTGTCCCCTTCTTGCCTGCTTAGCAGTAAAAAGGGTCTTCTAAAATGAAAAAATGGCAACAGATGTAATCAGAGAATCAAAACAAAAACACACACATCAGCCCTCTTCCATCAGGTTAGAAAGAAGATTCCTATTTATGTTAATACAGAGCACATTTTGTTCTCATGTTGTGGTACAAGTCACTGTATTTTGTTGCAGATGTAACAAATAGAATTACAGCTGTTCTTTATTTGATCTTCTAAAGACCCAAAGATGTTCAAAGATTCAGTTTGCTCAGTCTTCCCCATAGTGTCATCTGTTATTTGGGAAGGAGACCTAATTTGCAACAGATACAAAACTATTTGTCATTTTGCACGTTTGCCAAAAATAAATGAAACTATTAATTACTACATTTTTGAGCAGCTGTTAATAAATTGGAATAAGATAACTGTTCATTAGAGTACTGGTTAATGACATGGACTGTATTTGGTTAGTGTTGCTTTTCACAGAAGTGTAGCAACAAAATTAAATGTATCAGCAGAAGTAAGTGATGCTTTATTTTAATTTTTTAAATAAGAATTATCTATTCTATGTTATTAAATTTAAGATTTAATTTAAAACAAATCCTTTGTCATATCAAAACTAATGATTCAACATCATATTTTAAAGCAAGTTATATCACTCAACAGTTTGTATTTTGTGTACTTTATATTCCAAAATAGGCTTGCAACTGCTTTTAAATACTGATTTTAAAAATAAAATTTCTAGTCCTTTATCATTTTTTTCAAACCTAAAATTAGCATTAAATTTTATTGTTCTAAAAAAAACTTACTCAAAAGTGTCTTTTAGATTATTTTAATTCATTCATCTGTATGTGTGAATGAACAATTGGGAAGTATTCACATATTCCCTGTAAGTAGAATGTATATATTCCACATTTATTTAATTGTAATACATTTAATTGCATATGTGGTCTAATTTTTTTTTAATTTAAATAGCTTCTAGGTACAGAAGTATTTAGAGTAGAATAATTGGAAACATACCACATATGCAACAGAAATGCTTTCTAAGGAATTTAATTAATCTGTTTTACTCTATATGACCAAATAGTTATATTTTAAAAAGGCTCTATTCTCAGAAAGTCTGTTCTCCTGCCACCTGTGCCTTTAGCATCCTGAAATTCTTAACTTCCTTGACATAATTATAAACTAATGATTATAGAGAATTATTTTAAATTGTGATTACACTAAATAAAATTAATTATCAGTCAGTTAGAATTTTAAGAGATTGCTTTTTGGTTTAATGTGAATATCCCACACAGGGGGAAAAAAAGGATTTGCCATTTCGAAGTTATGTAATGTGTCCAGTGTGTGGTAAACAAAAAAGCAATCAAGTGCTCCCTGGTGAAACATTCGTTACCATGTCCTCTCTTTCTTGAAATCTGACAGAGGAACTAGGTATTTTCAAATGACTTAAAGGATGCATAGTCTCTCACCGCTGGAACAGCAGGTGAATTTGGCCGTGGTCACTAATAACGGAGAATAGTTAGCGTGTGAAAGCTGTTCCAGTGACCCGTGGCTGA